AGTCCATCCTTAGGAGAAAATGATCTGACCATGACAAGGGCTCAATAACTATCTCCCCTAATACCAGATCATTTTGCCACTGGCCCGAGACAAAAATCAGATCCAGCGTGTGTCCACCCGTGTGAGTGGGGGCATGAATTAATTGGGTCAAGTCCAAGGCCGTCATGGATGCCAAGAACTCCTGAGCTGCCGCCGACGTATCTATCATCTATCTATTAATATCATGGTCAGCAAGACATCCTGACCAGAATGTAAAGTTCCGATAGGACTAGATGGAAGCAGGTGCTTCTTCAAATAACCTAATTCCAAAATAATTAAGCTCATAAATATCAAGGACCATATCTTGAAAATTATCAGCAGCTTATTGTCAGCCAGTGAAACCACCCTTATATCTCCTCAGTCCATCAGGAAGCAGGGTAGTGCTGGTGATTTGGGAAGAACAAGGTAATTTGGACATTTCTTAAGACTTTTCCTTTGTCCAAGTGAAAATATACTTAATGACCCTTTCTTAAAAGATGCTCCTATCAGTGGAAACCTCCCCTCCTACATGTTCAGATAGCTCTTCCCTCCTAGCCTTCATAAAATCTGGGAAGATTCTCTTTCACCAAGCAACTATGGTTGTTCCTCTGATGAGTAATCATTTTTAATTGTTTTTGGAATGGTGGATTCCTACCGTATAATATTATAATATAATATAATATAATATAATATAATATAATATAATATAATATAATATAATATAATATAATATAATATAATATAATATAATATAATAATATAATATAATATAATATAATATAATATAATATAATATAATATAATATAATATAATAATATAATATAATATAATATAATATAATATAATATAATATATATAATATATAATATAATATAATATAATATAATATAATAATATAATATAATATAATATAATATAATATAATATAATATAATATAATAATATAATATAATATAATATAATATAATATAATATAATATAATATAATATAATATAATATAATATAATATAATATAATAATATAATATAATTAATATATACCTTTAATTTTTAATCATTGGAGATTTATTTTAACCCAAATTATGGGTTGAATACTTCTCAGAATCATTTTGTTAGAGAGGCTTATATGGTCTATAAACCATGACTTCAACATATCATGCTATCCATGGACTCCTTGGAATTCAGTAAAAAGCAGAATTTTTGTAAAGCTTGTGACTTGCATTTCTGTCTCTTTAGCATCCCCAAGCCAGCCGCAAAATATCTCAGTAAAAACTATCCCTTGTCGGGAGGTTAAACGTAAGTCCACTACTTGAAGACCTCGACGTAACGACTTGATCTGTCCTAATTAAACGTCAGAAACTATAAGTAATTGAAATCGGAGTCTTTCCCCTTTTATGTACCTCTACTGTGTTAATGGGAGTTTCGAAGTGACGTCTCGTTGTCGAAATGTTAGGACTCAAGTGTTGCGGTATGAAATTGACCACGAAAAGACCAATCCCGATAAAGAGAGGTGAAAAACCATACGTCTTAAGAAGACACTGCTATTATAGGGGCTTTAGAGAATCAATGATGCTTTGGGGCCACTTAACTAAATAGCCCACATTATTTGCTCTTTAAGCCAGCTTCCATTATCCTGCCTTCTTTGGGCTTCCAATGATCCACTTCCAAACAAAGCCCACATTTAGCCTCAAGTTTATGGTAGTCAGTGAACAATTGTCAGTTCTTCTCAAAGAGGGTAGCAGTCAGTCTCATTGCCATTATTTCTCCCTTTAGGCCTTGAATCTTTTGACCTGCAGCAGGCACCTTGAAAAGAACTGAAAGTAGGAAGATTTGTGCCACAGTTTTTTTCCCTATCCTCTTAAAAAAATGATCTGTATTATAAAGTACGTGGTAACAGAAATATCCCTGGGATCATATGCATAATAGCAGTCAATTGTTACCTGAGGATCTTCATAGATTTCAGGGTCCATGTGCAGAACTGGAGGAAAAATTGCCAAAATATCTCCTTTTCTCAAGCAGACTTCATGATTCTCTTCAAGCTTGAGAATAAAATTTTCTTTGATTTTACGGACATTCATTGACGAGGAACACATTCGCAAACTCTCATTTATAGCACTTTCTGTGTTTAAATGAAGAGAAAAACAGAACAAAACAACATTTCAAACCATTATAAATACTGAAGATGACTGGAACTTACGAATTCCTATAACAGCCACTGAATTAGTTTATTAGATGTAGCTAGAAAAAAAAGGTGGCGAGGAAAAATAGGCAGTGGAGTGGGAGGAGAGAACTAAAAATGGGACACTAATACATTCCTATAGGGCTAATGGAGTATTTGCTGTTTGGAATGTTTAACTATAATTATTAACTGATAGTATTTGATATATTTAGTTAAGCTCAAGACAATGTAGTGTATTTTGGGTAGAAAACCATTATTTGTACATCTCACTGAAATGCCACCACCAAAGAGAGGAATATTTTTATGCATTTATATACACTGCAAGGGTTGCAATACCAATTTCAACATTCAGAGCTGTCCTCCAATTAACTATATAGTGAACTGTGAAGTTAGGATGCTGGGAATTAAGGAACCTTTAGCAATATCATCATCACATCATAATTTCTACTGTTGGCTGAGCAAATTCAAATTATGCGTGGCACTTTGACAAGTTAATGGGGGAAAACCCATATCCCGTGTAATGCTTTGACACAAATCCCAAACCTTTTCCAGACGCCCACCATAACTTGGAAAGCTTGGAAAGGCAAATGTCCTTGCCATCCCAGTAGCCTTCACCTTTTGCTCCTAGCATGACAGATTTTATGGCTAATTTCCGGCAATTTATCCTGGCAGTTTGAGGAGAAATTCCTTTGGGAATAATATGCATAATTTGCATAAATCATTCTGATAGCATGCATACCAGCATGTACCTCCTGTCTGGGGCTGCATCTCTCACTTAGTAATCAAAACTGACTATTTCTCCACCAGCATGGCTGGGTCCTGTAGGAGACAGCATGACTCCTTTAAGCTATCAGTGTGAAAACAAGCCTTAGCAATGCAAAACCAGAGCCACCCATAGAATATAACATCAAGCATAGATGGTTGCTTAAATGCATTTTGGAATATCCACATTTAAATCCTCTCTTTTGCCAGATCTGCTTTGGTGATTCTCTAGAACTTAAAGGTTAATTTACAAGGAAGTGTAGCAACCTTAGCATAGAAGCATTTGAAAAAGACAGTAACAATTTTTTTTTTACAAAAATTAAAAACAGTGCATGGCAAATAAAGCTGATTTGGATGCTTTTCTGCAAGAGTTTTTTTTCTCCTTAAGCATGTATTTGTCTAAAGAAATGAGGCTGCGGTCAGTTCTGTGTGGCCAACACCGTGATTCAATGTGACGTACAGTGAGGCTGTGCATATTTTTTGGGGGACTGCCTTCGTTACTATAATCAGGGAGAATCAAGTCGGCTTGTTGATGACGAAGCCAGAAAAAAAACAACCTCTGATTCAAGAATATGGCCTCTATTGTGGATAGCCACAAGGCACAATAGATGTCAAATGGCTGTATTCTGGCAAGAGGAAACTTCCCCCAATGCAAAAGAAAGATCCAGGCTCCATTTCTTGGCTTTATGCAGCCTAGGAATAATGAAGCTAATTAGACTGTAGTAGGCTGCAGTATGGAAATGGTAACTGACATATGTAGGGCCACTGTACACCAAAGCAACCAAATCCTGGTTGGGGGCCAGTGAGGGGAAGAGAGTAAAGCACAGAACACACAACAACGATAAGCGAAATCATCAGACAAGTGTTGCTGCTGCTGCTGAAATAGCAGGTTTCCACTTGAGTAGCACAAGCCACACAGTCATATCAGATTGGTTGACATTTTGAAAGGAAGGATGGCAGTCTGTTGACCACTGTGGTATCCCAAATGACAATCGGGCAACCTTCTCTTATAGAGAAGTTAATCACAGTAATGGAGCTCAGAACATGGCTTAGTGGTCAGATCATAAATGACAAATCTATTTTACCTTCTAGTACCAGCTATGTGGGGGAAAAGGAGCCGTGGCTCTCGCTCTGAGCGATTTTGCTGATAATCCTTAGATGACAAAGGTAATGAGTCACATTATGATCAGCAAAGGAGGAGGGAAGCTTGTGTGGGTTTGTGGCAGCCGACCATGAAAATAAACAAACAAAAAATGACACTCTTTCCCAGTCCTCCTCCCCTCCCTGCTCCCCAACAATTCTTATACGCTGGATTTAGACACTGAATGACAACTAGATGATAAAACAGCAGCCTGTACAGTACTTGTGGTTGTCATACTTCAGTAGGCATAAGCCAGCACTCCTGTAAGACCAGCTGGATAGCCTGGGAGGCCTCCCATTTTGCACCATGAGGTACCGTAAATGATCCAGCTCTGGAGAACAACATCTGTTTCTGTGCTAGTGCTGAACAAACAAGGCAATTTAAAGCAAAGCAAGAGATAACCAAGCAGCAAATGAACATGACCCTCATGTTTTCCCACTTCCTACACACATGAGATGCAGAAACTTCAACACATGAAGAGAGATTGTCAGAAAAGTTGACATATTTTTTAAGGAGGGAAGGAGAGAAAGGGAGGGAGGAAGAGGGGGCCTTCAGACTTCCCAGAGTATTATTTTTAGAGTCTTCCCACTCTCCTTTTCTCTTATATTCTCTGCTTCCAATTCATCCACAATCTTTTTTTAAAAGTCGAAGCCATTTCAATATACTTATAAATATTCAGTCTTTAAACCTAATTTGCTATACTTAGTTCACATGCCTTCAAGCATTTGTCTTCCAATTTCCACTGAATAAATGCGTACTAATGAGAAATGGAACAAGCTGCTGAGGCAAAGCTGGGCGACTTGCGCCTGGCCCGCCACCAGCTTGTGATAGGCAGGCAAATTGAGTTAAAATGAAAAGTCTTGTCAGCTGAAATACAACATGGAGCCAAACAGCAAGCTGTCAATCATCCAGCCAAAACAAGGGACTGCAGGTAATAAAAGGTCATTGTGAATCATTAGTACATTTGGCTTTGGTAAGCAAGTTAATTTTAATTAAACATGATCTTGATCTGTTACTGTTTAATAAAAAAACTTGCTGCAAATAATGGTTTTTTAATTTTACAATAAGCATTTAGCAGGTAATAGGAAACCTGTAAATGTCAGGGGTATAGGAAAGAAAAATAGTTGTGCAATATGCAACTATTTGGGATACATCTACTCTTTTCAGAGCACTTTGATTATGGAAAGAATTCTTCCATAAAGAATTATGAAACACAACAAACCTGTACTTTGCATAATGACTGAACAGAAGTGAATTAATCACAGGATACAGAGATAAAATATCTAGTTTCTCCCACTTCATTCAGTCTTAAAACAGTGATGTTCAACGATAGCATACTTACTGTATCTTTCAAGATAGTTTGTATCCTAGCACTGTTTAATTTTAGTTTTTCTATCTGCTAGTGAATAATGTCCCATACAATGTTCTCTTTAGTGTAAATTACTGATATTCAGGACAGCTTAGCCATTCAAAACAAGATCTTATCTTGGGCATGATCTTCACCATGCAGGCAAAAAAAAAAAAAAAAAAAAGAGTCCCCCAATGTCTCCTTTTGTGCCAGAGACAGAAAATCTGGGTCCTTTTGAAGAAAAAAAAAAAGCAGAAGTCCAGCACAAAAAAATCCAGACATTTTATGACCAGATAGGATAAGGAAAGAGAGAAAGTTAAAAATCTCCTGATTATAGTTGGCATTTCAAGGAAGGAGGGTTTTCTAGATAACAAATTGTCACAGAAGTAACAACTGTTCCAAGGGTCATTGACTAAAAAGGAAAGGAAAATGTTAGTTAAGACAGTGCCCTGTTTAATTTCTTTTTCTTGATTTTTATGATCACTTCATTGCATCTGGAACTTATTATCTTTACACAAGCCCAGTCCTTGTATGTTTTATGCAGACTGGCATATCTTTATATTTCAGCTGCTTCTCCATTATTGGAATGGATCACTTTGGAATCTTGTCAGAGCTTGTCACTGTCCTATATATTTCTCTATTAGACATTTTCAGATGCTGTTTGATTTTGAATACCTCTATAATTGTATTTCCTTTGTTAATAAAGAATCATATGAGTAATTAAAGTTAAAAAGGAACTTCTACAATTTCTTTTCCTATTTCCTATTTCCCTCCTTTTCTTTCTGCCAAAGAGAAAAGGGGCTGATTTCCTTAGACTCAAGACTCAACGCTGCAGAGGCAGGAAGCAGCTGGAGAGTTTATTTTCTTCCTAAGGTAGGAGGAAGATTTAGGATGTAAACACTCAATGTGTACGCTATGTGTGTGCATTATGTGTATCAATGAATGTGCCTACTATATTTAAGATTACTGGAGGAGAGATGGATAGAAGAAATAATCTGTGCATATATGGAGATCTATGATAGATAGTCTGTATGATGTCTGTGTGAATGTATGCACATGTATATTCTTTACCCAGCAGCTGATGCTCCTTTCAACTTAGTCCAACTTAGTTAAGAAGGGCAATTGATATTTCATTGATATGTAAGGCTATCAGATATATGAGCAGGCAAAAAGAGGACATGGATAATTGGAAAGGGGGACAAATGGGGGAGGTGAAAAGGAAAACAGTAATTGTTTTTCTTGGCATCTGAGGTCAGTCATTCAGATTTTGGTCATCTCACATCTGGACTACCACAATGTGCTCTACATGGGGCTATCCTTGAAGAATATTCAGAAACCTCAGCTGGCACAAAGTGCAGTGGTGTGGGCAGTTCTTGGGTACTAGGGTGACCCATGTTACACCACTGCTCCATGAGCTGTACTGGTTGTTGGTTTGCTTCCAGGTGCAATTCAAGTTACTAGTTATTATTTTTAAAGCCCTGCATGGCATAGATCCAGTTACTTGAGGAACCATATCACTCTAATGGGACTGGCCTGCTCCACCCACACTGGCAGAGGAGGCATGCTGCAGACCCCATCAGTCAAGGAATTCCAGATGATGAAGTCCAGGAGAAGACCCTTTTCTGTGTCACTCCTGCTCTTTGGGACATTTTATCCCTGAGGTGAGATTGACTCCCATCCTTTTGACCT